GGGGGTGGCGGGGGCTTGATGGGGGGGGTGGGAGAGCCTCCCTCCCTCCCTCCATCTTTTTGCCATCTTTCCCTCCTTTCCTTTTCTTTCCCTCCTTTTCTTTCTCTCTCACTTCTCTTCCTTCCTCTCTTTTCTTCCTTTCTTTCTCTTCCTTCTCTTCCTTCCTTCCTCTTTTCCTCTTTCCTTCTCTTTCTTTCATTCCCTCCTTTCCTTCTCTCCTTTTCCTCTTTACCTCCTTCTTTCCTTCTCTCTTTCTTTTCCTCCTTTTTTCCTTCTCTTTCTTTCCCTCCTTTCCTCCTTTCTCTCTCTCTCTCTCTCTCTCTCTCTCTCTCTCTCTCTCTTTCTTTCTTTCTGTCCTTCTTTCCTTCACTCCTTTCCTTCTCTCTCTTTCTGTCCTTCTTTCCTTCACTCCTTTCCTTCACAGCCCTTCCTCCTCTGTCAGAGAATTGTAAAATGCATATTGTGCTTGTTTGTTTTCTTGTAGAACTTAAATGCGCTAGCAATCCAAAACAGTCCAGTGGAGCCTGAGCGGAGGGTGTTGCCTTCTGACACACTTCCAGTGATGTCAGGGAGTGTGGCATATGCAAATAAGTTATGCTAATGAGCTCCTGCACCTCTTTTTCTACGAAATGACCCCTGACATACATATATAAGGACCAATGTGGTTCGGAATGATGACACAATGCAAATGTCACAGGATTCCCCCTGTCTCAGGACGGTCTTACCATATCATTCAAGGAGGAACAGCATTTGGATATGAGGCTGTATTTGTGTCCTCTGTGTTTAAGAAGGATGAAGACAACCAGAAACCTTCCAGTCTTTCTGTAGGACACAAGACAAGTGTCTGTCTGTCTATCTGTCTTCTCGCTTGTTTGAATGGAGCAAGCAGGAACAGAAGGTTTGCATCAGTGTTCTTAAGCTGGGTTGTTTTGATCCCATGGCGGTGGCATTTCTCTTCAGATAGCAAGAGGTTCTGTGGCCGCTCCCCCAACTCCCACTACTGCTTGGTAAACCAGCAGGGGGAGAAATTAAGGGGGAATTCACTGTTGCATTGACAGCCTGATGTCATTTCCAAGCTGAACTTGAAAGTGACATAATGTTGCTCTAGGATTCAGTGGAAACGGTATGGTAAAACCATAAAGTTTCTGCTGAATCATAGAGAGGTGTGACATCACTTCCGGGTTGGGCCAGGAAATGACATCACCCTGTCAATGCAACGCCTTCCGTGTCCTCGTCCCCCCCCCCCGGGGTTCAGGATGACTTGATTTCCGGGTCCTTGTCCCCCCCCCCCGGGTCTTCAGGATACACTGATCCACGGTACACTAATGCCATTTCCTACATCTCTCTGTTCCTTTTCTTGTTTTTCTAGATCATAATGGGTGTGATCCTGCTCTACCACTTACTAGGGAAAAGTGCCTTGGTTGGTGCCGCTGTGATTGTACTGCTGGCTCCGATACAGTATTTCATAGCAACAAAGCTGGCTGAAGCTCAGAAGAGCACGCTTGTAAGTTGTCAGGATTTACTGTAAGCTCCCCCCCCACAAGCAACTTCCTGCTACATTGCCTGTTTCCTGCCCCTGAACTTTTTATAACCTAAAAAGAGAAGAGAAATTGAGAATGAAAGGAAGAGAAAGACAGACAGGCAAGGAGGAAGGGTAACTAAAGGAAAGAAAAAAGAGACAGGAAGACTTTGTTGTTGTTCAGTCGCACAGTCGAGTCCGACTCTTCGCGACCCCATGGACCAGCTCCCTTCCGGTCTTCCGCCGTTCTCTGAAGTTTGCTCAATTTCATGTTCGTTGCATCGATGACACTGTCTAACCATCTCATCCTTTGCCGTCCCCGTCTTCTTTGACCTTCAATCTTTCCCAGCATCAGGGGCTTCTCCAGGGAGTGCTCCCTTCTCATTTGGTGGCCAAAGTATTTGAGCTTCAGTTTCATTATCTGGCCTTCCAGGGAACAGTCAGGGTTGATTTCTTTGAGGATGGACTGATTTGATCTTCTTGCAGTCGAAGGGACTCTCAAGAGTCTTCTCCAGCACCATAGTTCAAAAGAATCTATTCTTCGGCTATTCAGTCAGGAAGACTGGGGGAAAAGAAAGAAAAAGATGGGAGGGGAAGAGAAGAAAAAACAGAGGTGCCTTGAAAAGAGTGTGGGAGATTATTTGGGGTGAAGGTATCTTCCTTCCCTAGCCTATATTTCAGTACTGGTACTTTTTACTCCACAAAAGGTATAACCGAGGGGCTGGACTACCTCCTTATAGTCTTGGTGACGAGGATTTGCCCTCTGTGGCAAAATGGTTCTTGTCTCGGTGAAACCTGTTGACGATCCTTTTCGTGTGTTTATTGTTATGGTATGCGAGGGGTTACTGAGAGCTCTTCACAAAATGGCCGCTCCAGAACCGCACAGCTGTTACCTGTAAAAAGCTTTATTATGGACTGTGTGGAATAACGTCCAGGTCCGTTAGGGTTTCCAGCCTCCAGGTGGGGACGGAACATGGGGAGGACAGGTACTTCACTGGGGTACAATGCCACAGAGTCCACCCTCCAAGGAATCCCTTTTCTCCACGGGAGCTGATTTCTGTAGTCTGGAGATGAGCTTTAATTCCGGGGGATCCCCAGGTCCCACCTGGAGGCTGGCATCCCTATCTATGAACCATCCTCTTCCCCGTTCCTCTGAAATGGCTCGTGATTCCAGCCAGTCTCTGGAATTGGGGCAGATTGCATACTCCTAAATATTCCAGGAACAATTGTGAAAATGAGCTGGTATAGAAACTGTAACTTTATCGCAGCGGTCCCCAACCCTTTTGAGCCTGTGGGCACTTTTGTAATTCTCACACAGTGTGGTGGGCAGGCGCAGCCACAAAATGGCTGCTGAAGGAGGCAGATCCAGCCACAAAATGACTGCTGCAGGAGGCGGAGCCAGCCACAAAATGGCTGCTGCAGCTTATCTTCCATCACACAGTGAAGATCCTTGTGCTGTGGTGACAGCTGCTGCAAATAGGGTTGCCAAGTCGCAGCGGGGAATCTTAGGTCTTCACAGAATCCTTGCCACGGGGACAGCGAGATGCGTGGCACCCGCCGTCGCCAGGATCTGACGCTACGCGTCGCTCTGGCAACGAGGCTCCAAACAGCCCCGTTGCCAGAGCAACACATAGCGTCATGTCCTGGCGACAGCGGTGCAACCCATCCCGCGGTCCCCGCAGCAAGGATTCTGCAAAGACATGCAGATCCCCCGCCGCGATTTGGTGAGATTTGGCAGGCCTAGCTGCAAAACAAATGTTTTTTTTTAAATTTGCATTGCCTTATCGTTTGTCCTTTTTAATATAATTTGTCAAGTTTCAACCAAGGTTAAAAAATGGTATAAATTTCATTCAAGGGCATTATTTTGAATTTCAATTGTTTATAAAATGCTAGCAGCGACTAATGTAATCGCCAGCTCGTTTTAATGCAAAGGTGTTGCATTTGCGCCAAGAGTTCCTTGCATCACTTCCCAAAACTAGTTATCCCATCATCTGAGATGCAAGGAACTCATTGTAAAAGTAAACTTGAATAGCGGAAGCGGACTGGGAAGTGAAAATGGCCCTGGAACAAGCTCAGCTGAGCAGCCACTAAAAGACAGCACTTTGGGGGCCACTGAACTCTATGGGCTTGACAACGGACAGGGGCTCACTCTCATTCCACCAAAGGGCAGCAGTGCTGGAGAAGACAATTGGTGAGCTGATGCCGATTAACAAGGAAGGTTCTATGTTGCCCTGTAGTCACTGGCTCAGTTGTGGGGGCTTGGCCACCAATGGCCCTCCAGGGCAGGGACCCAGTGGGACATTCCCCCCCTAAATTAGATGCCCCTGTTTTAAAGATGCAGCTGAAAAGACAAGCCTGCTACGCAAGGAAGGCAGGATATAAATCGAATAAATAAATAAATAATTTTCATGTTATTGTTCTTAATAATATGGTTTGCAATTTCGGAGCTGACAAAGCGTTTTCTTTCTTTTTTTTAATGACCCCCACTTGACATTTTTTCCAATGAGAGGTGGGTTAAAAAAACCCCAAGCTTAAAATAGATAATAGCTTTCTCAAGGTCCTCTCTTTTTTATCCTCCTTCTGCATTGTTTTAAGAATGGAATGGAATGGTGTGTGTTTTTTCTTTCATTCATTCTATGTGCGCTTAATGGAAAGGATTATTCTACAGAGAGGCTGAAGAAAACCAATGAAATCCTGAAAGGCATCAAACTGTTAAAACTGTACGCGTGGGAACATATATTCTGTAGAAGCGTGGAGGACACCAGGATGAAGGAACTCACCAGTCTCAAGACATTTGCCCTTTACACGTCTCTTTCCAGTGAGTAATGGCGCCCTCCACGTGACCAGTTGGGAAGCCTTTGTTATCCAATGTAAGGGACTAATCTAACATAACCACAATCTGAGCGGTTGACTTCAAGGATGAAGTATATGCATTTCTGTACTTGAGCTCAAGTGGTTAAGACGCTGAACTGCAGGCTGTGGAAGGTCGGTAGTTCAGCAGTTTGAGACCCGAGTGTGCCACATGACGGAGTGAGCTCCCGTCTCTGGTTCCAGCTCCTGCCAACCTAGCAGTTCGAAAGCAAGAAATTGCAAGTAGATAAATAGGGACCACTTCGGTGGGAAGGTCACAGCGTTCCGTGCGCCTTGGTGTTCAGTCATGCCGGCCACGTGACCACGGAAACGTCTTCGGACAGCGCTGGCTCTTCGGCTTTGAAACGGAGATGAGCACCGCAACCCTAGAGTCAGATTCGACTGGCTTTCGAGCAAGGGAAACCTTTACCTTATAAAGCCTTCTGACTCCTAGGGATGTCAGTCCCCAGGTGGGGGCAGGGGATCCCCTGATTTCACAGCCACTGGCCGGCAGGGGGGAAGCCCCCCCCCGAAGAGCAACCACCGGTAGCTTAAAAGGGCACTCAAGAATGGCACCTTCAACACTTTTCCAATTATACCCCTTTCTGCTAGCCCAGTCCTGCTGTATACCACCTAGGTCATGATGAGTCTTTCAAAAGCATCCCCCTGAGCCTTTCATTTCCTTACCCTAGTTTTAGAGTTTGGAGATTGGGAGGGAGATCCTGAAAGGGATCATCTCCTTGACTGTTCCCAGAGTTTGCCAGTTCGGGCGGAGAGGGATCACATTCCCTACTGAGAATGAGATCCCAGATCTCTGCATTTTTTCTTCTTCAGACAATTTCCTCTAAACTGGGAATAAGCTTAGTGAAGCTTACAAATTCGTGTAACTCTGCACTCTTGGTCCAATAAAAATGACGCTCTGACCTCTTCTGACTTTCTCATACTCTCAAACAAAGGAGGCCGGGAAGAAATAACCCTCTAAGCTGAACATCTGTTCGTTTACACGAATAATTACAGAGATAACATCTGTGGAGCTCGTAAATTAAGAGTTTTAAAGTCAATTACCGTCCCAGGATTTCGACTGACCTGCGACTTATAACCCCAGTATTTTTTTTTAAAAAAACATCCTTTTGCATACACACAAACACACAAAGCAACATTTTCACTATGGTACCCAATTTGACAGCTCTTTGGGGAATACGTTCCCTAGCTCAAGAAAATACACAAATCATAATATTTCCAAGTTTGTTTTTGTTTAAGATCTGAAGTGGAAAGTATTTTTTTTTTTTGGCCTCATAAGGAGTTGTCCAATATTTTGATTATAGGCAGGAAATAATATTCACGGGAAAGGTCATAGTTCTTCCCTAATTTTTCTTCAATGGACTCCAGTTTGGTGTATGAAGGGCATTAACGGTTGTACTTTGTTTTTTTGCAGTTTTTATGAATGCGGCTATACCGATTGCAGCTGTCCTCGCGGTAAGCGTTTGTTTCTTACAGTTTTCATTAAGCAAACTCTTAATCTGGGTCTGTGCATGCGGAGGAATGGAGTGAGAGAATGGATTGTACCACTTTAGTCTGCTGGGGGGGGTTCCCCATTCATGAATACTCTCTGGTATAGAAAACCCCCAAACCCTTCCTTCAAATGGAAAACTGTTATACCAGGGAGAAAGGTTCTGGCTCAGTTCTTTGCTTGTTTTGTTTTTAATTGGAAGGATTTTTATGTTAACGCAGGGGAGCAACTAACCTGCAGCAATCTGAAGTAATACATTCCTTTCTGATTTTCAGCATCCTATCACCTTATACTTGCCACATGTGCGGAACGGTCTTTTGAGCAGGGGTGGCCTAACTGCGGCTTGGGAGCCACATGGGGCTCTTTCACACATATTGTGCAGCTTTCAGCAGGGCAGCTGGGGAAGCGAAGAGGAGGCATGCTTTTCCCCCTCCCTCCCTCCCTCCCATCTATTTGCTTTCTTTGTTTCTCTCTTTCTTTTTCTTTCTTTCCACCTCTTTCATTCTTTCTTTCCATCTCTCTCTTTTTCTCTCTCTTAGATCAATCAATATCATTAGCAAACAGATAAATATAATTATCAAGATCTGTTTTTACCCCTTTTGTTTTTATTTTTGGCCATGGGTAATTTTGTTGAAAAAGAGGTGCAGGAGCTCATTGGCATAACTCATTAGCATGACTTATTTGCATGTGCCACACCCCCTGACATCGCTGGAAGTGTGTCAGAAGGCAACACCCACCGCTCAGACCCCACTGGACTGTTTTGGATTGCTAGCTATTGGGGGGGGGGACATGCAGATCTGTGCTCGCAGAGGAGGGAGAGCTTGTACCTGAATAAAACCTGGTCTTAAAGGTGCCACTGGACTGTTTTGGACCGGGGGGGCTGGGGGGAGCTCTGCAACTTACCTGGCTGCTTCTTGCTCTGACTGAGGGCTTCTGGGAGCAGGGGGTGGGGCTTGCTGCATGTGCCCGCCCCCTAGGCTCTTTACTGCCGGAGCTCTGCTCCTGTGCGCTCCTGCAGGAAATGACCCATTTTTGGCAATCTCATTTAATGTTAATAAAAAGCAAATTTGCATATTTTTTAAAAATAAAAACATCGAGTGTAATATTTGTTTCAGTCTTGCGGCTCTCAAACATCTGGCGTTTATTCTATGTGGCTCTTACGTTGAGCAAGTTTGGCCAAGCACTGAAGCAACCCTTCCTGCCCTCCCTCTCATGATCTGCCTAAGTTCACACAATCAGCATGGCTGTCCGATGGCCACTGAGCCTCTGTTTGAAAACCTCCCAAGAAGGAGAGCCCACCACCTCCTGAGGAAGCCTGTTCCACTGAGGAACATCTTATTTCAATTTCATCCCCACTTTTTTTAAATTAAACTGAATGGTGTGGAATGTGTCACAGTATTTATGGCTGCAATGACCTGGGTCTTAAAGGTCCCACTAGACTCTGTTCACGTGGTGGCATCAGTTACACCATAATGTTCTCAACAAATAAACACCCTGAAATTGATCCTTTCCATTAGCTCCATTTCGCCCCATGAATCACACTTAATTATAACTTCAAATGTCGCTTTGCTTTTGTCATTGGGGGACATAATGATCTGATCCCTCCCCTAGGGTGTCCATCAAGAGAGTCTGAGCAGTCCTAAACAGAATTATGCCGTTCTAAGCCCATTGACTTCAATGGATATAGAAAGAGTAGAAGTCTGCCTAGGAGTGTACTGTAAATGAATACACTGAGGAGCCTTGATTTGGTGTTTAGTCTAAATGTCCTCTAACAAAAGCCTTCAAAGAAACTGGAACTTGAGGTGCCAGCCTCCAGGTG